TAAAAGTGTGGTGGGGGGGGGGGGATCAAACACCCAATACGCAGCTCCGGAGTGTGACCCCCTTCACGGACGGCACAAACCGCCTGCACTTAGGGTGGGAAACTGCCACCACGTGTTACCCGGAGGAAATCTTGTGATAACTTAGGCTCAATCTTTGTTTTTCAAGTTCTTATAGGCTAACCTAGCACAACCGGGTAGAAAAGTCCATTGTTGGAACATCGTTCATTGTCGTTCAAAGCCCTATAATTCCCGGTCAGACGGGTCAGAATTGGGCCGGTCGGGGGTCTTTGGAGGCTAGCAATCCAACCAAAACTTGCATTGTGTCCTCATATGTGTCGAAAAGTGTGGTGAGAGGCTTAAACACCGAATAAAAAGCTACAGAGTGTGACCTTCTTTTCGGACGGCAATAACACCGAGGAAACGTCCAACGATTATGTCTTTTTTTCCGAATTGTTTGGATTGCTTACCACATGTGTCATGTGGTAGTTCAAGCCCTTCTGTTGTTGCATGAATAAGTGTCTCAACTTTCTACTAACTTTAGTACAAAGTTGTATTAGGATTGAGACACTTATTTTGGGATGGAGAGAGTATGTGGTAATTTTTCATAAATTTTAGAGATGTAGAAGTAAATTAATTCCTTTGCATGAAGGGATAACACATACCTAAGGATGTTACAGCAGAGAAGATATATATTGCATTTGATAAATAATAACTAACAGAAAAACTAATTCATCAATCTCAATGAAAAGTACTGCCCGTACGTAGTTGGCTAGTAGCCCAACAAGGATTACAGCACAAATGAAGGAAATGAACCAACAAGCTAAAAACTTAGTGAAAAAGAGACTAGAAATTAAGGAAGATCAAAAGGCAAACCCAAAAAGCACGACTGAATATGTAGTCTCCACCCTTGAGAGATCATCAACCGGTGTAGGGCTCGTTCACGAACCCGCACTTCTTCCTGATCTGGCCGTTGGTGCTGTTCTTCACCTCGATATTACCCATCTTCACCATGGCATCCTCGAAATGTCTGTACCACAAGAAATCTCCGATCAACCACCAAGTGTACTTTTCCACCAACTCCTTGGTCTTTGGTGACGTCATGAGCGCCGCGTCGGAGGTGAAGAGCGCTTTGCGATCCATCACGTTCCTGTAGTACTGGTTGTCCAACACGTCGGGGGTCTTGTAGTCTTGCGGCACCGTGGGATCACTACCGGCGGGGCAGTCCTGGGTCAGCTTTCCAGCGTACGTGGCGTCCATCGACGTGGTGGAGTTGTCCTTGGCCGGCGGCTGGAGACGGGGTAGGGGTA